TGATCTCAACAGCAACATCTAGGTTTGCTCAAAATTTTCGGAGAAATTAATACCCTTCCTTATACATAATTGAGAGGAAAATGAAGAGGGTTTGAAAACGAGCCAAGGACGATAAAACATATCGCAAACATCTCTAACTTCTATGTAAGTAACAATCGCAGAATGATTTACTCTTCACACGTAATTAATGCTGTATTAATGAACTCGGAGTTCAAAACTGAACTTACAATGTAAAGCTTCTATTGGTCTAGTTAGCTGTACTGTTTACTACATAGCCGACCGATGTTTTGTATCTTTTGACAGCTTTAATTTTAATGGTATGTTTGGCTGACGAGCTTAACAAGGAAGACGATGAAAAGACTATAACAGACGATGACGTATCAGCTAAAATGCTCTCCAAGTCTGGAAAAATCATGATTGTTCGAGATAACGATGACGACGATGATGATGACGATGATGACGACGATGATGATGACGATGATGATGACGATGACGATGATGATGACGATGACGACGATTTTAGGGACGATAATGAAGAGATGCTATCGTTTGAAGTAGACGAGTTGAAGGAAAAAGATGTCGATGGAAATGATGTTGATACGGTGGACAAGCATTCTGTGGATTCGTTTGACGACGTGGACTTTAAGTTTACTAAAGTAGACACTCAGGCGAAATATGATGGGGTCCCTGTTACAAACGTGAACCTATCAGCGACCCTACCTCCTTCTTCTTCTCTGGAGATCATGGTTTATCTGTTTCGTCAGGCGGGGAAGGTGACATTTGGGAATGAAACCTTCAGGGTGGAAAAAGGAACAGTCAAGTTTAATATTAAGGTAAGTGTTGTACCAACGCGAGGTGACATCGGCATGGTCGACACGTGTTAAGTCCTTGCTAATTAAGCACTCTACAATTCGACGTTGAAACCTAGGTCATTTTAATCAGTAAGTAGGAAACATCAAAAATGTGGTACGTTTTTAACCATCCCTATCAAAGGTCTCTTCACGCTACAGAAACCAGAGTGACTCAATTAAAGCTGAGAGTATAAGAGGCGCAAATATTAGAGATTTTTTTTTGCGCTGCTTTGAGCGGAACAACTGAAATTCTCTTTCCATTCGCCTGCATTCGTCTATGATATTAAACACTAGATCTCTTCATCTGAATACGATTGTAATCTTACTCAGTTAACAACCATGTCCTTCACAGATCAGCAACTGGGATTTCTGTGACGGGTCGTTTGTTGACTGCAGTGAAGGCAAAGTTGGAGAATTTCTTGACCTAAAACTTAAAATCAAGAGTAAGGATTCTCCAGCAGAAATAAGCGACGATGACAGAAAAGCCGCCGCCAAGAGACCCATCTGTAAAGACGAGGACAGTGATGACGACGGCCCCGATGATCCGAACGATGACGATGACGATGACGATGATTGTCCGAACATTTATGACATCGGTGGAGACTCTGAAATGCTGCTTAACAAAGGGGTTAGTTTATTACCGGTAGTCATTACATCCTGTCCAACGTTGCATCAGGCAGTGAGATCATTCTGATTTTGTTTAATCGATGAAAATTTATTTCCATATACAGCGCAGTTTTTTTTTCAATAAATACCTCACATCTGTCTATCCGATACCCATCTGCCTTCATCCTATTTCGTGTTCGTGAAATTTTTCGTCACATAGATAAATCTTTAAGTTACAATTTCTTAAAACAGTGTTACTAATATTGACTTAGCTCTAAAAGTGGCAATAGCAATTAAGGCGAGTTCACAACGAGACAAACTTTTTGCTTCCGAATTGGCGCTTGTTATTTTCTACATTTCCTCTTTCTGCACCCACATTTTTTGTTCCTCCTTCGCTTGTTTTTATTACAGAATCTTTATAAATGATGTACATTCTTCTTTTGCTAGGTGGTTACCGATGATGATAAATACACTGCCTTCCCCCAAGGATATCCTAAATTTGAGATCGAGGATGGAGAGAAGAAGTTCGTCTTCCGAATCCCTAAGTTCAAGAAGAGTGTCTTGGTTGATCCAAGTGTAAACGTAGGCCGAGTCAATGGCGCTACTTCTTTGGCACGCGCTAATATTGGGCTGGCCCTTTTGCTATTTGTCGCCGCTTTTTTCCTCACTAATCTTGTCTAAGAGCTTTTTGTTAATGGGTAAAATTCCTTATTATGTGTCCGCTAGTAATTCTTATTCATTGAACATGAAAAAATTGTTATTGGTTAAAAAAGTTACTATCAATTGCCCCTTTTATTTTTGGCTCAAATTTTGTCTTCCTTTGCTGCAAATTTATTAATTAACTGTCTTACCATACATTATCATACCCAAAAACAAAGGAAAATTAAATTATGAACCACAAGGATAGAGTGGAACCACAAATCTTGCATAAGAGCTTGCGTGTAATCAAGTTTAAGATCCCTTTCGTCATAAACACCACTTTGTTACTACTGCGTGAGCTTCTAATTTTTGTTTAAAGATTACTGACGTAACTTAAGGATTATTCAAAATTGCTTTTCAAATGATTAGGCTGGAGTTGCATTGTTCTACATTCACAGATGAATTTCTGATGTAGAGTATTTAACGGTATTTCTTAAGTTATTGGGTCACTGTGGTGGCAACGCCCAATCCATCCCTTGATGGAACGGTTTAATTCCCTTTATTATTGAAGTCTACGAGTTCAGAAATCGTTTGGGAAAGGCATTTGCTTTCTCTCGTGTAATTTGCTTTTGGCTTTACACGAAAAAAATACACGACATGAGTCTATTGAAAGGATTAGGTAGGAAAATCGTGACTATTGTAAAGAAAAACAGGGGCTATCAGGCGACGACGCACTCAGGTCGGAAGCAGTTTGCTGAGATTCAAAATGAAAAATTTCCTTCAAACGGAAAAATAATTTTGTCTACTGACGCTGTATCTCTTGCTGGGTGCTGACAAGAATTTTCAAAATGAAATGCTAAAGATCTGGGTTTTTCTGTAATAAATGTTATGAATCTTATTATAACTCTAAAATTTAACATAATCTGCTGAACTGACTCATGTTAGATCAGTTTACGATGTAACGCACATTGTAAGGAAATTATGTAGCTTAGTGCTTGACACAGAATTAAGAATAAACGAAATAGAAACCTTGCTTCGCGTAAGCCTTTAAGTTCATTTGCTGCCAGGGTTGCACGAAAGCAATCTGGAATTTACACTGGTTTTGCTACACTTTGCTTTGTGGAAAACTTGCGCCGCTCTGGTAACTAATCAAATGGCAAGTCAAAACCAAAAGCGACTTTGTTACTTACGTTTTCCCGCGCCGTTTTTGATTTTACGACGCCCAACCGACGTTCTGCGTTTGTCAGACTGTGACTGACTACGTCAGATATTTACATTTCAATACAGTGCTATTTACAGGAGAGAAGGGCAGGCTCTATTACTTGACTGACTTCCTGGGGTGATGAACTTGTAACTTCTCCGCATGATAATCATACATTGTCCAAACAGGTGACGGGAATAGTCAAAGTTATCGGATAGAAGTTGTTATCTGATCTTACACCAACTTCTCGTGACTAATTTACAAGGAAAAGTCTGGCAGTTAGAAGGGAGAATCGATTGTCAGATCGGCTTCGGAGTGTTAGGGTTAAGGAATTGTGGCTTTATTCAGGCCAAATTGCCACAAATTTTGTACGGAGTTTAAAAGGAAAGTAATGGAACTTTCATGTACAATAACATTTGATGCTCAAGCTCAAGGAAATGATACATATACAGCAACTCAGGAGGGAAACATCGTGTTTTGCGGTTTAACAATGACGTTATCAGTCACAACTCAGTCTTTTTATCCGTCAAATTCGTTTAGCTTGCTCTGATCTAAAATCAGTCGTGCAGTGTGTGTCACAGTGTTGTGTTGCGTCAAGTTCAATTTTTTTTTTAATAAAACTCCCTTTATAATTACAGCGAAACAAAATAATTTTGATTTGTGGTTTCTTGATCAAAAGACCTTTGCAAATTAATCTTTGACCCTTATATTAGTCTCAGGCGATCAACCAAAACACCCATTGTGTAGCTTATCAGATTGGCAGCCAAAATATTTCAGTTGTATCGGTGTTTCGTCAACGTTTTTATTTTGCCAATGATGCGATTCCTAGACTCCGGAGCTCCTAAATTTCTTTCAGTCACAGACTTTTATTTGAGGGTATGGAAGGAGCAGGCTTATTTAAAGCTTAAAGTTCAAGCTGGAGGGCTCTATAAAGATGGGTGTTGACTAAAGGTTTTCGCTTAACTTTCTTCCTCGATCAATTATTTCTTGGAATGGAAAAGTTGAATTCAAAAAATTACTTCATAAGCAGACATATCACTTACAGACTGTCTTGTAAACTTGTAAAGGCTCCTATGAACTTCAACATGCATGCTAATGAATTATTTTAGAAATTTTTGAATCAAACTATTGTTTCAGTGCACTATGAGGTAAACACCTTGAAGGCATGAGGTGAATTGTGCATTGTTTCCCTCTAAAAATAGCTCTCTTAGTTTCCACACTTGACGAATTCACTCTGACACCTCCGTCGCTTGATAAACAATCGCCTGACCTTCAAAGATAATTTGGACAAAAATATGATACACAGAGCAGACGGACTTTACGAAGTTCGAAAAGCAAGTCTCGACAACTTCAGAAAGTATGCCATAAGTCACATATAAAGCTTCTTACACAAATCATGTTTGTGCGCTGAACACGTGCCTTGTAAATAGCCTCCGGGTACAACACGTGCAAGAACGGGTAGTGGCAAGTCGACGCTGAGATTGCATTTTGGAGGGGTCGGAATGATAAAACCTAAAATGGAAGTCCATTTAAGTTTAAAAAAACTAGTGATATTACTAATAATCGTCGAGTTACAGGATAAATTTTTTACTCTGGAAAGTAAATTTCCTCTAACCTTCTAATACATAATTTATTACAATGTGGGGTATTGCGGGGGAGGAGGAAAATGAATAGTTTTATATTTCGTAATGCAACTCACCAACTCTCTTAAAAAAACGTGTTTATTTTTACTCTTTCCAATAAAGTTTCTAGACATGGCAAGAATATGGCCCATCATAGCAACAAAGCTGTAAGCGCGCGCGCATAAGCTAAAGAAAATATTCTAAATTACTTCTAGTTCATGTCATTCTATTTACATTTGTTTAAGTCTTTACGATTCTAAACTCTTGCAAAATTAGGGTCAGAAAATATTATTCTTATTTACAGTGTCTGTGAAAATATAAGTTTTTCAGATAGTGAACGTAAATACACCGATGTAGAGCATCACAAAAAAGCTCATTATTCAATTTCCAAGAGCGGAAATATATTTAAAATCACTTTTATTTACAAATATTTTAAGACTCATCGGAAAGCTAGCATGGCGAATCATTGTCGTAAATTTTAAGAGATTCTAGCATATATCTGTGACAGTCAAAATGTCCCTTCTCCCAAGCGATTAGGAGAGGAGTTCTACCTTCTTTGTCAACCTTGTTAACATTTGCTCCTCGCTGAACAAGTAGTTTAACACAGTCTAAACTCCCCTTCGCCGCGGCTTTGTGAAGGGCAGTTTCGCCAGAGGAACTTGGTTTATTAATGTGCAAGGGCTTTCTATCCAAGAGATCTTTCAGCTCAGTAACAGAGTTCTGCCCCGCGGCATGAAGAATCAATGCGTATGTCGAAAATGTGACACGTCTGCAAATTTGACATGGTGTCGATTCCTTGCTCTGACCGCTTAGCTGTTCCGTCGTCCGAAGACAAGATTTCACTGGTTTTAATTCAACTCTATTCTTTTGTCGCGGAGAAACACTGTGTTCAACTTTAATGGTCCTTCGAAGAGTTTCGTTGGTTTTGTTTCCTGTTTCTTCAATGTTACGATGTGCCAAGTTGAAGTGCTTTAGTCGTTGCAGCCAGTCGTTACGGAACAAAATACTTTCTGAACACGTCCTACGGAGGCCTGTCGCTTCATGGTTAGCCTTATCTGTCTTCCAAAGAGATGCTACACTCTCTTTGAATCTCATAATTCTAAGCTTGTTGTCGTCGATAAATTGAGTCTTGTGTTCGCTCAGCTTTTTCATCGTACTTGGTTAACCCACTGTTCTGTTCTGTTTTAAGTTCGCCCACAAAGAAGCGGCCCACGTTTTTTCGTCAGCTTTTTATGGTTTTTGCATTCGATAGGTTCCTTTGTTCCTTCGGCAAACTATGCTTTGTTTAAAGGGCTAGCTATTCATCTTTTGTTATGAAAATCATTCTTTATTGTCTTTGTGCATTTTTAACGCACATTCTTTTCAGTACATTCACCTTAGTAAGACGTTTTTGACATGTCTTTATTGTCCGAGCTCATTCACGCGAGCCACATCAGTCATATGTGACCAATTTGGCACAGAATATATCGCAGCAAATTCTCGAGCGCGACGACGTAAACATGCTGACTTAGGCAAGGACTTTTGTGCTGATATACAGTCGTTGGCCCACGAAGAAGAAGCCTCGGGAAGAGGCGTTTCAAGGCAAGTTCACGTTCAGCACAGGGTGGATGACAAATGCGGGTGACCGCCTTTTCTCTCCCACGATCTTAACCCCTTAGGTTCCTTAGAGTGACTATCATCTAATTTCCCCTTACAATATCACCCCTGAAACAAACATGAAAGTCACGAGAATAGAGGAGATGATCATCTATTAAAGCAGCTCTTGATTATTACACAAATTCTCCTTATCAGCCTTTTTGGAAATGTATGGAGAATATGCATTCTGATGTTAGGGTGTAAAGGGTTTAAGTCGATTCTCAACTGGACACCAAACGTCTGTTAGTCAGCCGTTCATAAGAATTTTAGGTTATGCTTAGAAAATGTTCACAATGTAATGATTTCGACAATTCTTCTTTACCTGTGTACTTGATTGTGTAGTAAAATTATGTGGAGAATGCAGAATCAAGTAGTCACTCTGTGGGGTCCAAATAAATTTGGTTTTCCTCGATACAGAAATGGTTCATTACTGTGTTATGAATTCAACGTCCTACGCACAAAGAGTGGACCAGAGCCGGAAGGAAGTTGATTCGTTTACGACTCAGTGAGACCACGGTGATGTTAACACTCACGAGAGTTTTTTTGAGGGATAGGTGAAAATATGAAACATGATCACACTGAATTCTTGAAGGCTCGCCAGTCATTTCATTCATGAAAAGCTGTGTCATGACCGACCCTTTTTTTCTTAACTGAGGTCCTGATCTACTGATTGAAACAACTTTTACGGTGAAAGAGCGATATATTTCATTTGTCTTTTTGTAAGGTAAACTATGCGAATTAAAACAGGGAAATAGCGAAATGATCCACTTGAGAACTTGCGTCAGTAACCTTTGGTCTTCCTTCTCAAATTGTCATTACGAATTATTCATTATTTACCGCCGGGGGAGGGGTGTGGATTATTTTCTTTGGGGGGGGGATTATTTGGTTTTTAGGGGAATCGGAGGGAGGATCATTCGTCGCTAACAGAGTATAAAGAGGAGGCACACGCCCCACCCCCACCCTCCTCCCCATCGGGCGATAATAAATAATGACCAGTCGTTTCGTTCTCTCAAGATTTTTCCCGAGTATTAAGATAATCCAGGTGATTGTATTGGTGATAAGTCTTAGAAACGTAAAATTTAGTTACAGAGTGCGATCTGAAACGACAAAATTACAAGATTATCATTGATTCACGAAGCAGCATTCTGAACTGATTTCTAAATGTTTTGAGTCAATTGTTTGTAACCTTCTCTCAATCACGGCCAAATGTAATAACTTGAAATCGAATTTCTAACATCATCACACGCGCTCTCATGGTATCGCCATTACCTGGCGTAGTAAAACAACCAACTAAGAAATGACACGAACGAGTGTGTTTCAGGTGACATCTTCTCTCATTACGTCGGCAGAAGTCATTATCGACGAAGTTTATCGTAGGTGTTTAAGAAAATGTGCGTGGGAACATTTGGCCGCATTACTTTCCTTAATCGCCAAAATAGTGAAACCGTTTTAAGCCGTTTTAAACGTGATTTCAAGTTAATTCGAAGGGTGAGAACGAGAAATTCATATCTTAGTTTGTAGAGTGGCAGTGCTATTTTATGGTGATGGTCTGTTTGGAAAGTTCTGCCTTTCATCTGTTGTGATGCCATTGTTAACAAGAGGCTTGTTTTGGTATCCGCTACTAATTCGAAGGTCACGTTTAGATAAAAATAAAACGATCCTATCATCTTTGAACACGATTCACGCCTAAAAACAAATCAAGTCACGATCTCAAGAAACTTTTCATATGTAGTTCTTCCTCGATTGACTTCTCTACAAATGATTAGAGGGGGAGGGGTGGGTGGTAAGTTTCTGATGAAACTGTGGTGCTGCGTAGAGGGGAGTAAAAGAAGAGAGTTTAGTTTTATCAACTTAGTTGATAATGTAAATAGGCCACCTTAGAGACTTTCTAAAGCTGACGTTTTGAGCGTTAGCCCTTCGCCAGAGTAAATGGAGGAATTTTTGTTTGTGTGTTGTTTATAAAGAGAAAGATGGAGTTATGCTCTTGCCCGTGATAGCTCCAGCCTTCAGCAACGCACATCCCAATGGAATTCATTTCAACGAGGAAAATTTGGAATGGAAGCTAGCTTGCCACAGGGGCTGTGTTTTTAGGAGAAATATCACTAAACTAATTCTCCTGCTTAAACACAGCCCGACTGGGATTTGAGGATATTTTGTTTTAAGCAAAGCTAGCAATAACTGACAGCTGAACTCTTTCGCGGTTTATAATCGTCAATGGAAGTGAAACAGGGTCGTCTTTTCTTTATGATCAGCATGGCTTTAGATCTCCAGCTTAAGGAGCTCTGAATCTAAGTGCTTGTATTTAAATGTGCAGGTCAAGTTTGTCTAATGATGGTAGCTTTGTTGCAAACTTTTCAGCCATTTGAAAGTAAATGAGAGTATCAGAACTATTTATGTGTTAGTATACGAGAATAACCGTCATTAGTTGCTGAGTAATTTCCACTTGTTATATCATTCCAGTCTTTTCGAAGTGGAGACAAATTCCCTTGGCGTTTGAGGTTTGATTTCGTTGGATAAAATGCCTAAATTTTTTCACAAAAGAGACAGTTGAGTCTATAGTTTTCAATCTTATCAGCGTCAGCTTAAAAGAACAAGCATTTGACGTAAAAAAGAATGCAGATAGCGTTTTTAAATGTTGAAAAACAAAGAATAACTGATGTGGACGTGATCATATTTTCTATGGGCAGAGGGGTTGACGCAAAAGCGATTATCTGAGTTTTGTTTATAGTTTCTAAAAAGCGTTTAAATTCCTCCACACACTATCAATCATCGTCTTAGTTGCACATTTATTATTAAAATCACGATAAATGTGCTTACGTAGGGCAGCAACTAAAAGATATTGGGATACAATTAATACGACAGATTTTAGCAAGTACCAGATGGTACAGGCCAGGAAAAGCTAGTGAAAACCACTACGGAAACTGTTTGTTGTCGAGTAACTGACAAAAAACTTATCACTTGGCGTATTCATTAGCGGACGGTGAGGTAATGAATACTTTAACAAATTAACAGTTCTTTAAAAGTTCTCACCTTGCCTCTTTCAGAAACCATAAAATGACGTATTCCTTTTCTACAGCTTTGTCTTCAATTAAACCAATCAAATGAGTTCTCAAAAAATTCACGTGTGAATTTTTTAGGCAAAGATAGGAAACAGAAGGAACTTGTGGAGGTCAGCGCTAAAAATATTCAGTTATGCCCTTGTCTAGGAAGCTTAGCAAATCAGAAATGTCTCTACTTTTCAAGCCCGAAACTGAAAGAAGATCTTACGACAGGCCAAAAGTGGAGCAAGACTTGGCTAGCAGCAAACGTTCACCGAGCAGATCGGATCCACCGACAATTTACATCGAAGATGAACCTGTAACAGACGGTGCTATAAACGGATTGCCGAGAATTCACCGAGCGGTTTCCGATGGAAATTTGGACTGGCTAAAAGAACTAGTCGAGAATGGAGAAGAGGACGTAAACACGCCAGATCAACAAGGATGGCCTCCGCTGTATACTGCCATTAAGAAGGGAAAACTCGATTGTGCAGCGTACCTGTTGAAGAAGGGCGCCAAAGATTTTTACGACAAACAACACGCCGAGTACCAAAAAAGATTGGTTGCCGTTTCGAATGACCTTTCAAGGAACAAGGCCAACTCTTTTACATAGCGACTGAATGGAGATAAACGTTGTGGTTTATTGCTCCTGGTTATAAAAAGTATGCATCTTTTGGTCCAGTTTTAAAGAGACAGCTGTAAGTTAATATATAAAGTCGGATTCGAGGACCGAGTTGGTTGAATCTATCGCTAGGTAATTTACTATGTATCAGGGTAATTTCCCAGAACAGTTGAAAACTCTCGAATCGTTTTTTCTGAGATTGAAATATTGCTTTAATACTTTAATACTTTCTGGTGTCTATATTGCTGTTATTTCTGGATGCATTGTTTACTGTTGAACTGTCAATGAGGCTTTCATGGTTAAATTACCCTTTTATTGTTTCTGTTGTAGAACCAAGTTCTGCAACAACAGCCGCAAAACCCATCGCACAAATTTCATGTTAGCTGTGAATTTACAGCAGGTAAACTTCACAAAAATGGATTACCCAGAGCAGGTGGCAAACATTGCAAAACGTGTTTCAAAGATCGCGGGCGAACGCACTTTATTAGACTACCTCTATAAAGAATGACCACAACTAGAATTGCTAAACGAAAGCTTTTTTTACAATTTGTTGAGTAACGCCAATTTACAGCTCCACCTTTTTTGTATGATAAGTTGCTGACTGTTATGTATCACTTTTACATTTAATTCTTAAGGTTATTTACAACCAAATGCAAACAGAATAACATTTATGTGTACGAGAACACGAACTGTCGGTTTCTCTGATGATCGCTATTGTTAAGTCAGTTGATACCTAAGCTGCATATTCCCTTGAGTGTGCTAAAGTAATTAAGCCAGCCTCTATATCACAGCAGATTTTGGGTAAATGAGACACAGTGTGTTGACCATGTACCGTTGTATGTAAATACATTAATGAAAGTGGCACGTTTCTTCCGCACTGTGTATACTAATTAAGAAGTAAGCGATAATGACTCAAGTTCTTTTCCACCAATAAACACATTAAGTTAGCAACGTAGCAGCTTTGAACAAGCTGTTTCGTTAGCGCGTTTAAAGAAACAAGCATGCCACGGTATCAAGTAAATAATGTTCTTAATTTACGATGCTTTATTCGTAAAAGGAAAGACCTTTTTAAAGTTAGCCTGGATTTCAACCTTAGAGCTCCACTCAAACTTTGAGAACGGCCCTGCAAGCAAGCAGGATAAATTAAAAGGATACTTGGGTTTTGATTGTCTACTCAAAGGGGCACGCAATGGTTTACCTTTCTAGCCGGGATTGTAAGCGCGGGACTACCTGCTAAGGATTGCACGCTCGGGATTGCCATCTTTCTTGTCCACTCTTGTGCTTTCTTATGTAGTCTCTTGGCCTTTAAAAATCCTTTATTCTCAAAGCTTATTCTAACAAGAATTTTGGATATCGGCTTTGGTCCAATAGTTCATTTTTTGAACCTTGACCCTGCCTCGGTCCAAAATTATCCTTGAACGCAAACAAAGCCTTTTGACTAGTATTCAACCATTTAACGGAATATGTTTGGTCAATATTGAATGGGTGGTTGATCAAACAAACGAAATTCGTGGATGAGAATGAGTGAAGAGGAGGAAAAAAGCACGATATCACAGAATTTTTAAAATGCATGCAGAACTAAAGACGCGGCTTTATTGTTTTCACCGGTTGTGGCTAGGCAAAATACATAACATATGATAGCTGATAAATATTTGATTAATTTCGTTATCTACTTCGTCTTCTAAGAAAGCGACTTCAAGATAGAACTTGACATTTTTAGCTCTAAGATATACGAGACTGCTTTAACACAGCTTAATTATTTTCGATCCAGGCACTCAAGATACGTGATAGTGCGCATGACCAAATCAAAGCAGTTCAGTCCCATCAAATTGTATCGGACTCGAATTAGTAATGGTGTCCCAATATGTCTGATAAGAAGGTCTCTCGACGAAGTCACAACATCCTCTGGAGTGTCTTCCACTTAAAAATGTTTTAAAAGTAAAATATTCGTGAATAAAAAGGCCAAAATAAATTAACGGATCACAAAGCTGGAAGGATAAGAAGTGCAAAGTTAAGTTCGTTCTCACGGATTCGTTTCTCGTGGAATGTTTCTTCGCCGCATGTCAAACAAAATAAGATCACCAACAGGATAACCAAAAGCTTTTTCACCTACTTTATCGATGAGTCCACAAGTTGCCTGGAAACTCCAAACTTGTTTGTGCCAACCTGATATCGGTCTGATTGGGTCACTCAATGGTTGGCGATAACTCCTAGTGATGTATTGCTCATTGTGTATCATCATCCGTTGTTTACATATTTGATTTAAACTATCACGCCCATGTTAGCGTTTCATAAAATTTTCAGCCCTTTTAGTCCAATCAACCCAAATCTCAACAAGAATTCTAATTCCGGTCCGGAAAGAGTGGGCGATCCGTAGCTTTTCTGCCGAACTCTTTCATCTAATCGGTGAACAATATTCAAATGCAGAACGGGGACCTTTTGCGATAATTCATCCTAGGTCAGATTCCAACCACGAGTCGTGAAAAGATGCCACAAAGATTTAAAAGAAGAATGAAAAAAAAGTTGAAAAAAAACGATACTTTCAATATACGATTAAGAATATGGAAGCCAAGCACTGAAGAATTAGAATGTGTTTATCTGGTTTTTGCTCACGAAAGAAGCTAACGACGAAGCAAACGAAAGATAAAAGAAAAGATTCCATCCTTTGACACGGTATACAATTCTCAGAGATAATATCAGAATGTTTTTCAAAAATAAACCACCTCCGGTTTGTGCATTATCGCATTGCAGACGATAATATCAGGGAGAGAGGTTAATACAGAACCTGGGCTACATTTGAGCAAATTTTCCATCTCCTTCTTAGACAGAGCTAGTTTGCTTTCACAAGGATAATCTTGCAGGCTCCCATCCTTCTTTGGTGAGTTAAGATAATTAGTGTGGGGGGTCTATTAAGTCCTTGAGTATCTCAAGTGAACGCTTATTCTTGGCAGTGGGAAATATAGACTTTGTGACGGGACAACTGAGATGAAACTTTGGAGAGGAGTATTTCTTTGATTTTACAATAGAGGGATGAATCTTACAGTGTTGAAATTGGTTGTTTCTGCCGGTTCCTTCTTTACGTGTCTTTCTTTAATTTTCACCGATGTGTGCCTTTTGGGTCGACAAGATTGTTTACCAAGCGCAAGGAGCTTCCAGAAGAAACTGGTTGGCTCTTTGGAGCGACTGTTTTTTCTGAGGTCCGGCGGAGACCTCGATCTTGACGAAGAGATCTTTGACATGTCAAAAGGACTAAACCACCATGTTTGGGAATACAACTGTTTGAAGAGCATTGAAGCCCTTTGCAATTTCCCAATCTTTCCTAAAGCACCGGATAAAAGAGAAATAATATCACGAACAGAAATCACTACGCGGAGCCGTCGCCGCGTGGATGCCCATCGTTTACTTGGTTTTTTGGTTCCAAATTTATCAGGTGAACATCTCTTCGCGGTAACATCGAATGGTTTTGCTGAAGTCTGGCTAAGTCCTGATAAAAGTTGGAGGTCGGCAAACCAGATTGCTTACATCAGGCAAACTGATTTGAAATCTACAACAAAAAAATGGGACTTTGAGGCTGTAAAATCACAGATTTCCGCCGGAGTTTATTTAGAGGCGAGAAAACGATATTTCATTGAGATCGTGTACTCCCTTGGAGGTCGCAAAAGAGGCGAGAACTTTCTGCAAGTCGCCTGGAAACGACCAGGAAAATCCACGTTTGAGATTATTGAGAGCGAATCACTCTCACTGTATACAAATGACAGTGAGAAGGACAAGTACAAAACCTATGACGATCGTTTACCCAAAGCTCACTACTGTGCAAAATATCAGAAAAGCTACGCAAACAAATATATGAGATCAGAGCCATATCCTAGCTTGGATAATTCCGCCATTAGTGGTGCTTTACCATTTTGTGACTACAGTCCTAGCTATATTCTCAATCCTGCTAAATTAGATGGGTTTGAAAAATACCATGGCGTAAAAAAACATGTGCATAAAACGTACGGTTACCCATATCCAAATATTGATGGCATTATCAGAAGTCACACGGCGCATAACGTGTTTTTGGCTGAGGATCCCTTAGAAGAGGAAGAAGCGTGGTCCGTGGTTGAGGCGTATATGGAAACTGTGGAAAAAAGCTATCCAGGGTAAGAATTTGAGATTTTTTAAATTTGAAACTAGCCTTTCTTTGTGAGCAGTCGTTGACCATTCGTGTATTGCCATTTGTCAATCCTTGATCTTTCCTGACTGTCGTTGCTTGTTAGTTCTTTTATTTATTTGCTCGTTCGTTCGTCACTTCCGTAACTCGTTCGTTCTTTAGTTTTGCCGGTCGTCGCCGTTGTCGTTCGTTCGGTCGTTCGTGTAGTCGTTCGTTCGATGCGACGTTCGAAGATTCAGTCGGAAGCTTAGAATACCTCCTCGAATTCTGGGAAATCGTGCCAAAAGAGGATAATGATAATGCAAGAAAAACCAAGCAATAAGTGTAATAAATTTGATGTTGTATAATGGTTACTAATAGGCTAAGTCAGGTCTGGCTGATCTACACAATGTGAAGTGGAGATCAATCTATGATCCACACTTATGATTGAGTAAAACATTATTTCAACAGGAAATATGAACTTGAGGATATCATTCGCGTTGAAAAAAAGAAAGATCCCGAGAAAGGAAATAGATATCTTCTGGAGCTTGCTGTAAAAGATCTCACAAACTTTGATGGCTATATTTTATCGGAATATATTTTTAAACCGAAAGATAGAAGTGAGTCGTTGTGCTATCCCAGAGGCCTACAATGGAACAGGACAGCAGATGTCTATCTGATTCTCACGGTCAAGAACTTGGGTCGGTGGGTTCATCACTTTATCAAGAACGTGGAAGAAATTGTACGAGAAACGAAAGATGAACACTTACATGTGGTTATATTTGACTTTAACAGCCCAGATATTGACTTAGAGCACGTTTTGAGAAGAAGCAATCTGAGGAACCATCATTATATCTCAAAGCCTGGTAATTATTCGCGCACAGTTTCCTTAATGGAAGCTATAAAGTCAATAGATGATCCTGAAGCCATTGTAGTAACCATTGATTTGCATCTGGATATCGGAAGTCAGATGATTAACGACATACGTAAGGTAGGGACGAGGAACTCCTTGAAATGGACTGTTGCAAATCACTTACCTCAAAAGTAATCGCAAAAGCCAATTAGAACAAAGTTCACATGACCCAAAGGGCTAGATAGAACTCTAAATGAATGAAAGTCACTCTTTATCACCGAGAAGG